CGTCCCATGTACAACATAATTCCTTATGACCACCCAATAATGCAATTTCAAAGGGGAGAGCCCTCGAGTCAAGGTGGTAACCAAAATCAACAAAACCAACAGATGCCCCGTCGATCAACAAGAGTGAGCCGGCCAACTAGGTGTGGCACTGGTTCACGACATGATACACACAGGTACTAATACATATATGCAATTTAACTTAGTTAAATTTGTAGTGAATTTTTTACTTTTAACATAAATTCTTTCACTTGCAGGCACCATTAAATATCATGGATGAATAATTCATAATTCAAGAATGTATTAATGACTGAGTTAGTGAGATCAATTTGATGTATACAATACTATAAATTATTTTTACAGATGTAATTTTTTCAAAATAGTACATCATCATTATTAAATGATTATAATATTATAATAAATATATCATTACTAATCAATCAATATAATTACATAATATAATTCATGAACCAATAATTAGTAATCATTATTACATTATCCATTAATCATTTAGAAATCAACACAAAATCATTATTAATCATCACAACAATAACAAGGCAAATACAAATCCTTTTTATAGTATTAAATAACAAGGCAAACGTAAAATTCCTTTTTATAGTATTAAATAACAAGGCAAACGTAAATCCTTTTTATGGTTATTCCTTCTTTTGCCACTTTTAAAAACTGATACGATTTTGAATCCATTTCAAACTTTTGTCACCATCAGAGAAAGCACCCCAAAAATCCACAGTATCAAGTTGTAAAGACAGTGGAGGAATGTCCGGTTGGAGTCGTGCAAGCACCAAGAGACATTGATCATCCATAATACGCTGAACATCAACTTCGTGAAAAAACTAGAACAGGAATGTGTTATGGGTGAGCTCCTTCACATCCATTCCTCTTCCCGGCTGCCAAACAGCCGCAAGGGTATCTTGCATGAAGGTGAACTTAACCGTTTTATCGGTCATAAGCCGTCTGATGAGAGTAAAACGATTCCCATTCTATTCAATAATGAGGCCCTCATGATCTTCATCATTAATCTCAAGGGCAACATATGCTATCTCAAGATCATCAGTTCCGTCGTGCTGGATTTCTGACTGGGGAATACATGGATGGGACAATGATGGGGCTTTCGAACTTGAAGGATCCTCCATGGGAGTAGAAGAGACAGGGAGGGCGCGGAAGAGTAACAGAGAGATGCAAAAGATAGAAATAGGGGTTGTTGACTTTTTTGTGCAAATTTGACAAGAAAGAGACAAAAATAGGTAGAAAGAAAAAGGTGGACTAAAATATGTAAAGTACTAATCTCATTACCTTTTTCTCATTAGGGTTTAGGAGAAGAAGGTAATTAGATTACCTTCTTTAACCAAAAAAAAAAAAAAAAAGTAGAAAACTTGACGCAAAAGAAAGACAAGAAGGTATTCTTCTCTCTCCTCAATTATATGTATTTTTTTTATTTTGTTAAATAACTATATTTAAAATTTATATCATTAAATATAAATTATACCATTTTAAATATCTCATTGGGACGATCGAAACAAGACTAATATTGAATATATATTAATTAAAATTTCAAATACATCACATATAAAACTAATTGAGTTTGAACTAAATTAATGTTAATAAAAATTATTATTTATATCGCAAGTTATATTTTATATTAAACTAATTGAGTTTGAACTAAATTCTATTAAACTAATTAAATTCGAACTAATAATTGAGAAATCAAATTATTTAGTACAGATATGCATCTGGAAACAACTCTTGTATTGTTCATTGCCAAGTCGAAGTCTCTTTGCTTTACAGGGTTGTCCCGGCACGAGACAGAAGCTTTCTTCGTCGGACGAAGACTTATTTATTTATTTATTTTTAACAAAATTTTTTTGGTATTCTTATTTATTTATTTTTGACCGCAAATTTATCAATTAAAACTAATACGGATTAACGATAATTGATCGAAAACAAAAAAAAAAAAATTCGATCCATTCAATATCGATTATTGATTTCGTCTTTTTTTTTTCGATAAGAATGCTCACCACCAATTTAGCTCTCATAACCCATTTAAAATCAATTCATCGAATAATCGAAATTTTGAACGTTCATAACTCATTTAATTAATATATATTCAATATTAGTCTTTTTTCGGTCGTCTCAATGAGATATTTAATATGGTATAATTTATATTTAATAATACAAACTTTAAATATAAGTATTTAACAAAATAAAAAATTACATACAAAACAAATAAATGATACATTTGGAATTATAAAAAGAAGCAAGGGCAAAATAGTAAAAAAAAAACTTTTAAATAAAGAATGTGAAAAGTTTGTGGATTTTCGGCCAAAGCAAAAAAAGAAATAGAAGAAGGTAGTCCAATTACCTTCTTTTCAAATAGGGTTTTGAAAAGAAGATAATGTCATTAGTACTTTACACATTTTTGTCTAGGGTTTTGAATCAACACATTTTTGTCTCATTCATGTCAAATCTACACATTTGTTGCTTTGTCCCTAGAAACCAACAACCAAATAGGCTCATTGGGAAGAGAACGAAAGTCTTGTTAGAGCATCCACAATGGTTGGGGAGAATTGAGGGAGAATGTAAGAGTGATTAGGAAAGAGAAGGTGGGAGGAGAGAGAAAAAAAAAGAAAAAACAAAACAAAATTTTTTTTTTAAAAAAAAATAATGTAATCAGACGCGTCAGGCACGCCGACTGGCGCGCCTGACGCGCCACCGGGCGCGTGTAGTGCACGCGCCCGACCTTCCTCATGGACTGCGCGAAACGCGCAGTCCGTGCGTTGTTTTACCTTTTTTTTTTTTTTTTTTTTTTCTTCTTCCATTCTCCCACCCTTTGCAGGAGCATTATTTTGGTATTATTTCATCTCCACATTAGTTATTATTTTCAACATGAGAGAATTCAACTTACATTATCCCCATATTATGCATTGATGTGGTTGCTCTTACAGAAACAAGGAAGAAAGACTAATCATAGGAGGCTAGAGAGAGAACCATGGCTGATTGACTGCATAATTAATTAAGATAATGATAACATTTTTTTTTTTGAAAAAAAATAATGATAACATATATAAGTACATGATTTAAAAATAAGAGTAACTTTCCAGTCAGACCATCTCATAGATCTTTATTTGTGAGACAGGTCGTAACACGACGACAATATAATACTTATATTGAAAAATGTAATACTAATCAAGAATAAATTTTTTGTTGCTTATAAGAAAAAGTGTAATACTTTTGAGGAAAAATGCAATACTTTTAAATCAAAATATAATAGAGTAAATACCCAAAATGGTCCCTCGACTATAGCTAAATCCACAAATTGGTCCTCAACTTTCAATTTCACCCAATTAAGTCTTTAACTTTGTAATTTTAACACAATTTGGTCCTCTGTCTATTTGACTGTTTGTTGACTGTGATTTTTGAGGATATATATGTAATTTCATGGTCCATCGTCAATTTTTTAAGGTTTCGGTTGCATTTCCAGACCGCAATGTTACATTTGAATCCACTGTCGAAAGCAATCTACCAAACCCGGTCACCTTCTTCATCCTCCCTTTGGATTCAATGTAGTTGAATTCGTACTAGAGCAAAGAAGACGACGTGTTTTCGAACCGGTGCAACGTCATCCTGGAGGACTCCATGTGCTCCGACGAGAGCTGAAGGTTCTTCTGGAGATCGTCGATCACGGTCAACAAACGGTCAATTAGATGGAGGACCAAATCGTGTCAAAATTGCAAAGTTAAGGACTTAATTGGGTGAAATTGAAAGTTGATGACCAATTTGTGAATTTAGCTATAGTCGGGGGACCATTTTGGGTATTTACTCAATATAATATTTAGAGATTTAATAGTTACTTATGAGAAAAAATGTAATACTAATCATGGATAAATTGTTTAATTGTTACTTATGAGAGAATGTGTAATACTTATAAAGAAAAATGCGATACTTTTGATGAAAAATGTAATAATTTTAAATCAAAATATAATAAGAGTTGAATGGTTACTTATGATGAAAATAATGATAACTTTGTGGAAAAATATAATACATATAGAAAACCTAACTTGTCTCGCGGATGAGGATCCATAAGACCGTCTCATAGGAAAATTTGCCTAAAAATAATTAATTAAGAGATTGAACTTGAGAAATAAAATTACTTTATAAATTAACATGACATAATTAAACATATAAGTACAAAAAATAATTAAATAAGATACATATAATAAGCTAACATAAAATATATATTTTATAATAATTAAAATTAAAATAACACAAATAGTAAATATGCATAAGAAACTTAGATAACCTAACAATTGTGAGGGAATTGCATTCCCTTCAAAATCTAATGTGAAGGGTATGTTACATTCCTAGGGGAATATTATTAGGGTTGTTAACGAATCGAACATAAAAGAACAGAGGTTGTTCGTGTTCATTTGTTAAAAATTTTGGAGTATTTGTGTTCGTGAGTTAATGTTTTTGAAAATTCAGTTCATGTTCGTTTGTTAAGCGTTCATTAGCGTTTGTTAATGTTTGCGAACATGTTCGTTAACGTTAACGAACATGTTCCTTTACGTTCGTGAAGACTTAATAACCAAACATCTGCACATATTCATGATCATAGTTTGTTCGTGAACAAGAAGTAATCTACATTTACGAACAATAACCAAACAAACAACACAACTACAAAACTAATACAAATAACTGAATAAGTCCAATCGTAGCATAATATATATATATATATATATATATATATATATATATATATATAGATTTTGGATCAGGTGAGGTACCTAATTAAAATGAGTTCAAATGAGGCTCGATCCTGTGCATTTATTTTTATATTTTAACGGATCTGATTTATAATCTTTTTGTTTTAATTGTTTGATATGTAATATAATTGGGGGTAGGCTTGTAATTTCCGTAATGCATTTATTTCCTTCCATTTTAATATTGATTCCGGTGTGTTGTTTTCCTTATACGCGTGGGTTTTTTGAGTCTCGGATATTCAGCATCTCGGTAGTATCGTGGAAGAGATACCTCCGACAACTATCTCAGTTCCTTCGCTCGTCGTCGAAGATTATCCATGGCCGGCTCTTCCACTAGGCGGTCGATGCGGCAGAGGGGTACTTCTTCGGGTGCGGCTGAAGGTATTTTTATACTGACTTGCTTGTTTGTTCACAGTTTTGTGCGGTTCTTTGTTTTTTGCGTGGTGTGGCGGGGGTGTGGGCGGTTGGGTGTTTTTTTTTTTTTTTGTATGTTCAGTGTGGCGGGATAGTGGGTACTGGTATTAGGCGTTCAATGAGTAAATAATTGTCGTTTTTTTTGGGGGATTTTTGGGATTCCATTGGCCGGCGATTTTCAGGCGGTGGTGTGGCAGCTCTCTGTGGCTACCGGGTGTTGTGGGGTGGGGGGTGGTCCAGTGTTGAATTATTGCAGCGGGGGTTCTCTTCCTCGGTATTTTTTTGCCCTGGTTGTAGTAGTGGAGTGGGTTGCTGTGGCGGGGAGGCGGTGTTCCGGGGGATTTAATTTTGGAGTAGGGCTTTGTGACCCTTTCCAGGTTTTTTTTTTTTTTTTTCTTCCCGAATTCTTGTTTACATATTTCTATTCTGTTCTTTTGTTTTGCTCATTTTGATAATTCCATTTCAATACAGGATGACTCAATTGAAGCATAAATGTTTGAGGTTTGTTGCTATTTTATGACAAACTTGCATGTAATCTAGTGATTAAATTAAGGGAATCATTTTTGTTCTGGGTTCCCTTTGATAAAAGGGGAAAGGTTAAAAATGACTAATTTTCTTATCATAGCAGAAAAGCACTAGTCGTACATGTAAATATATTTTACACGTTTGTACTGAATTAATAATATTGTGTGCCCATATCTTCAGATTTTTTGATGGTGTCATGTTTTCTATTACTGCTTGCGAACGTTCTACTCTTTACTTAAGGATGCTGGGGTTTTTGTGTATTTAGGATGTGTCTCGGATTATTGGTGTTGTTTGAGTTTTTAGTCGGTTATGGGTTTTCATGGTTTATTTTATTTTATTTTGTTCTTTATTGTTTAGTGTGCGTGTGTTAGTTTATGATTAGTGGTTCTTTTTGTGATTCTTTGGTTAACATATTGGCTTTGTTATTACTTTTGGTTGCGGTGTGTGCTTCTGTTCCTGAGTTTGTTCTTTTGGTCTTTTAATATCCAGGTGTGTGCGAGTGAATTATGAAGTTTGTGCGTTTTGTATCCTGCAAATCTACTTTCGGTGTATATATAAGTAGATCAGAAGAGTTTACTTGAAAGCAATAATATAATGGTATAATTTACTTGAAACACATCATACCACAAAAATGCACACAGCACTGTAAGATTCCATTTTAAAATGAATGAATCACGATTTCACGCTCACACCAAATAACAATTTCGTACTTTTAACGACACATAAAATGAAAATACTGACATCTTGTGGAAGCCCACTATCAGTAAATTGCACATGCCCAACAACAGTTATGCACACATCCCGGTTAATAAACAATTTCGTTAACATATAAAATCCCAATGCCATGTACCTTTATCACGTTCTTTGTTTGAAATTAAAACAACGTGATCAATGCGCACACATTTAATTTTTAGTTTTTGTAACCATTTTTTTAAAAAATAAAAAACAAATTGCAGTGACCGTAATGGTATAATATGCACACGCATGAATACAGATACGCACACACGATTGTCACAATGGCACGACCAGTGCTTCTGCATTACATTATTAAATTTAAGCACAACAAATAGAAAACTGGATGTTTCATGCTCACTCTGACCACCAACCATTTTAAAATACAATAACAAATTTAAAATTAAAAATAACAAAGTCATGCGAAGCCCGCTTTGCAATAACTTGCACAGACTGTTGCACATCTACGCACACACCAAATACCAAATTTATGAAATCTCGCAGACACCAAATACCAAATTTATGAAATCTCGTAGACACCAAATACGTATTTCGGATAATTAAAGAAAAAAAAAAACACCCTCCCTTCAAGTTGCACACGTCATAACATTTATACGCACACAGTACCGTAATATATACCTCCGTCTTTCAAAAAAAAAAAAAAACAAACCAAGCCGTTTGACTCTTTAACTTTTTTCTTTGCCAACCAAACCACCAACTTGATTACACACTCACACCAAATACTAATTTTGGGTTTTTTATTTATTATTTAAAAAAAGACCTTTAACATTTAATTTGCACACGACATAGCACATATACGCACACACTACCATGTTATATTTGATCGCACAAGCCAAATTTATTTCCAACGCTGGACCACACAAAAACAAATAAACAATATTGTCCCAAACTTTTTCCTTTAAACTCACACCAAAATTATGAACTCATGCGGACACAAAATTCTTATTTCGGATTTAAAAACCTAAAAAAAGACCCCATTAATTCAATTTGCACACGCCAAAGCATATAAACGCACACACTACCGTAATATATAGTTTATAGGCAAAAAAAAAAAAAAAAAAAAAACAACAACACTAGCCTTTTTACTCTTTATATCTTTTTCACAAACAACCCACCAACATAAATTCATGGTCACACCAAATACTAATTTCGGCTTTATAAAAACAATAAAAACCATACATTCAATTTGAACACGTCATAACATATATACGCATACACTACTGTAATATATTCCACAGGTCGAAAAAAAAAAGGCGTTTTACACTTTAAATATTTTTTCTTTAAATAAAAATGTCATGAATTCACACATACCAAATAAAAAATTAAGAAAAAAAAAACAACTTTCAAATAACCTGACCCTAAAATTTGCACACGCCTTAAAACTTACACGCACACGCCACCGTATAGAATCATAAAAAAATAAAAAAATTAATAAAGATGCACATAATAATGTTGTTACTAGCCATTCCCAAACTCTAAGATTATGTCGTTCCAGGCTACGCATGTTTTCCCTTCAACATCTGTGTACACAAGTTATTAATAGTTGTTACCATTTATATTGTCCCTTAAAATAAGGTAAAGATTACATTATTAATTCTCACCAAAATTAAACACATTGATACAATTACTTTTTAATCCTTGTGATTTAAAAATATCCTTAATTAGTTAACATTTCTCTTGCAATCTCAACCATCTATTGAGAATGTATTGATGGATGAGATGGGATTTCATTATCTCATGTACCATAGGGATCTCACCGGAACCGCAGCCTATATATATATATATATATATATATATATATATATATATATATATATATATATATATATATATATTTGTGAACATTATTAAACGAGTTGTTTATGAACATTATTAAACGAACACAAACGAGCTTGTTCACGAGCTCTTAACAAACGAGCCTACAACTGTTCAGACTCTGTTCATTTATGAACCGATCTCTAAAATTTGTTAATTTATGTTCGTTTACCTAAATAAACGAACATTTACCGAACACAAACACGAATAGTTTACCGAAAGCTATGTTCGCTAACACCTCTAAATATTATATTTCTTCGGAAAAGTAAGATAACATGAACCAAACATGTGAATGTAAACTTTGGAATGTCACATTCATTTGATTTTGTTATATAACTTTGAATGAAATTAAAGTCTTTAAAAAATTTTAAAAGTCGATACAAATCTAGTAGATTGAATACATCCCCTTACCTTATAATGGCAAATTTTATTGTGGACCGGTAGAAAAACAATGTTGTTTGAAGTTTTGTCTATTAACAATTGTAGACAACAAATTTCGTTATGATCCATGTAGCTACCTCTCTTATTATTTATGCTCATTTTATACACACTATAGTTTCATTACAACACTACTAAAGTACGGAGTATCATTCTAATTCAACTACATTTCATTTAACAATATGCACTTACTATGTAAGACCTGATATTCAATTTTATTTTATACACAATGTAGTTTCCTTATAACACCATTAAAGTATCATTCTTATTCAACTAAAAGAAAAGGAATTTTTTTAGTACTTTCAACCAAACATTAAAAAATTAATTATTTTATGAAAAATGAGTCATTTTTTGGAAATCATTAAAATATTTTTCAGGTTTTCAACACAGACCCTTAATATGTGAGATATGCTATTCAGTTTCATTTTATACACGTGGTAGTTTCATTACAGCGCTACTAAAGTATCTATCTAATAGAACTACAGTTTCATTTGACAATATACACTTATGGACAAGCATTGGTGAGCCTAACCTCAGTGGTGTCCATTTTTCCAACTCATCTGTGGATCCTCCTCCTGTGATGTGAGACTTCAAACCTATCCACCACTGATAATAATCGTGATCCATGAAGGGCGATTCCAGCGCCCATGGACACACTCGGGGCACCAGGCATGACTCGAACATGAATGCCATCGTGCCTGTGATTCTATGCGGCCCTGCTTCGTTTCCCAGGGCTATGGTTTTCTTTCGGCATTATAATGTTGTTAGATAGTTCATAGATGCCTCTCTGGGAGCATTACAATGTTGTTAGATATCTTTCTGTGAGCATTATAATGTTGTAAGATGTTTTGCTGTGAGCATTATATGTTGGATTGGAAGAACACTATAGCAGACAGGCTGTAACTATAAGAACAGAATGCTAGTGGTGATTGTTGAGAATAATATATATATATATATATATATATATATATATAAATAAATGTATAATTTCACTATCAATTTAAACTTTTAGTTAAGACGAAACAAGTTATTCAATTCTAGAAGTATGGAGATGACGGGGGAGGGAGCGAGTAGATGAAGTTTCACCTCGTATGTTTTGGTATCAGGACCATGGGGAGTCATGGACCTGGAAGAAAGCCAACAGCTTTTGCCTGAAAACAGCAAATTGTGTTGAAATTCATGATTTATCACAAATTCCTTCTATGATGAACAAACCTGGTACTTTTAAGGATGTTCTTCTATCCAGAAAGATCAAATGAACATTACCAATTTACCATAGGCTACCAAAACCAAGATTTCTTTTCACCCCCCTACAGAGCAAAAATAACCAAAGAATTTGAAAAGTTTACCTCATATCCTCCATAAATTCACTCATACAATTTCGGTGGTAATATGGAGGACGAAAAGTGTGTTCAGCAACCAACCATCGCGGTGGAAAAATGACAAAGTCCATCAATGCCACTCCTGGTTTATCTGTGGGTGTTGTCAAAACTGCATTTGGTTTTTGAAAATGAATCAAACAGAAGTTGCAATTCAATCTATCTAATAATACAACACACCAAGCAACAACTGTTAGCAGAAAGGAATATACCCTGTGTTTATTGATGGATCAATGTGATAAAACAAAACAGTGTTATAAGGGCAGAACTTGCTTAGATCATACTGCAAACAGAAAACTTTTACTCCACAAGGATTAGGAAACTAGTATTGATAATTTTATCCAAGCTATATTAGCATCCTCATTTCCTCGAGAATATTTACCTTGTAAGGGGCGTAATTGCCATGCCAAGCAACCACGTTGAATGGTGAAAACTCTTGTTTTGCGGCAAATTTTTGTACAATGGTGTAACCTGGACGGCAACTATCATCAAACCATGCCACCGGAACAAGAAAATCCCTTGGAGCAGCAAGACCATTTGCACATAAACAGAATCAAAGCATATCATACGATCTCTGATTTAACATGCACGGAGCGTAAGTAATTTTGAACTTTATGTGCACCTATTGGCCCAAGATCAGGGAGTTGAAAATGAGTTCAAAAAGTTTCACCAACATAACCTCGCGATTGATTCTCCATCCGGCAGATCAACAGCAAAGCGAAATCCTCGAGGAATAACTACTATTTCACCAAGGCTGACTTGCAAACTACCACATTCAGTTGTAATCCACAACCCTATACGGTAAACAAAAGATAAAGACAACTTCAGTGAACATACAAAAAGAAAATCAGCAAGCTCTAAGAACATCACAATTAACCTTAAGAGAAGATGAAAAAACTGGAGCTTTCTTTTGAGCTGTAATATGGTCATGGGTGAATTATCGTACAACTACCACAAAATGTTTTGGAGGGAGACCAAGGGCCAAACAGAAGATAAGACAGCAGCTAGTAATCAGAATGAAGACAGAGTGTATCTTTTACAATTCACCAAAGATCCAAAGTAATTCTTTAAAATTCTCATAATTTCTAAGAGGTCCCAGGAAAGTGAAATTGGTTTCACTTGGATTGTTGGATTAGGTACAATCAAACAGAACACGTGGTTACTGAAAAACAAATGACTCATTAAACCAGTGAATTGGGGCATCACTTACTTTTTGAGGAACTATCAAAAAGTCCCCATCAGCATTGCAGAATGCACAGTTGTCCATTGATTTCTTAGCTGTATACCTACATTTCCACACGCACTTGAATTTATAAAATACTGAAATTTATTCAATACTCTCAGCTGAAAGAGAACTGATGCAATTATAGGAATAAAGTCTTTCATATTAGCACTCCTTGAATTAAGGATTTCTTATTTGCTCTCTACTTTCAAAAAAACCAACTAATGATGCAAAATTTGAAGTTAAAGCTGAAAAAATCATAGATAAAGTTTGTCACAGGCAAGACCTTAAATCTAAATATGAAGATTAAATCACTTCACAAGATACCAATACATTCCAAAATTATATATATAGCATATAAATGAGATTGAACCCAAATTACATGTGAATTGCAAAACCATGCCGGAGGTAAGAGCTGCCAGCTCCACAGACAGTGTACAGCCCATCAATGAAATGAGTTGGTGATTCTGGGATATCCACAGGCTTCCACCGTAATTGAGTAGGAGTAGCAGAACTATTTGACTGGTTGAACTCACTGACAAGTCTTTCATGAGTTGGAACTCTAGGTTTAAATGGCTCAACACGATATAACCTACTGTCCACCAATAAAAAACTTGTTCTAGCATGTTCAAGGTTTGCAGGTGTTGGAAGATCGTCCTCCTATAATCCTTTAGCGAATTTTAGAGGATGGTTGGTTGGGAGTCTCTGAGTTGAGGAGAGACTCTGCACTATTTTCCAAGTTTGAGCTTCGCCGTGCCCCTCCCGTTGATCCAAAAAAATTGATCAGGCTATGATCATTACCTTGTGTTAGCCATTCATTCACAGTCTAAACCCTCATAAGAATACAACACTCTTCTGATCATCTTTGTGTGGTCTCCATACTTGCAAAATGGCCTTCTCAATCTCCTTATCCCTGTGCCACAGTAATGCTGCAATGGCAGCTTCCTGAATCCTGATAGAAGCAACTCTTGATCAATCACCAGTAATCATTACATGAGCACTTACCATCAGCAAAATGATGAAACCTGATGGAGTCTCGTAGTATTATCTGCCTGCCAACAATTTGTGATATGTATTTGAAGGCATCATGACAGTCCCCACAAATTCTGAGATTTTTCATTATTCTTATTGGCATCTCCGATTTGCGTGTAAGAACAAAAGCAACTGCAATTCTCTCACTGTGATAGCTCAGGAGTTCTTCCTTGTTCTCCAGATCAAGGTCATACAAAGCATATTTTATCTGCGGTACATACCCTACAAGCTTCATCTTTTTGTGCAGTTCCCTGAGGTTTTCATAGATTACATCTGTATCGGGGTGAGATTTGTCGCCAGCAGCAAAAATGTGAATGCCATCTCTCATGCTGACCCAGCTGCATCCTTTTTCTTTCCTTGCTGTTGCTTCCCTCATAGAGCGTCGGGCCTGAGCAACATCTTCCCACTTCCCACCAGACGCGTGCATATTTGCTAGAAGAACATAGTTTACTGCATTTTGAGGTTCCAGCTCCATAAGCATTTGCGCAGCCTTCCTACCTAGATCTCTTTTGCGATCACTAGCTCGACTGCATACCCCCAGAACAGTTCTCCAGATTAGTGCGTTAGGCCTTAATGGCATTGTTTGGATGAAGTCCTCCATCTTATCAAGCTCGCCTGCTCGACCAAGGAGATCAACCATGCAAGAGAAATGCTCGATTCGAGGGGTCAAATCATACACTCTGCTCATAGATTCAAAATGATCAAATCCTTGTTCGACGAGTCCTATGTGGCTACAAGCTGACAAGACAGCAACAAAAGTAACATGATCTGGTGGTTGGCCTTCCAGCTTCATTTTTCTGAAAACCTCTAGTGCTTCATGTCCATGTCCATGCCTTGCATAACCAGATATCATTGAGTTCCACGAATATACATTTCTTTCAGGCATTAATTTAAAGAATCTTGAAGCATAATCTATACGGCCACATTTGGAGTACATGTCAACCAGGGCACTCCCAACAAAAACATCTGATTCCAAAAAAGCTCTAATCCCACACGCGTGGACTTCCATGCCACGCTCTAGTGTTGCAACTGAGGCACATGCACTCAGAACAGTAGAAAAGGTGAAGCAATCTAACCTCTGACCATTGTGCAGCATAAGCCAGATTAAACCCATGGCCTTCGTTAGGAACTCATTGTGTATATACCCAGAGATCATAGAGTTCCAACTCACATCATCTCTCCTGTCAGACATTCTAGAAAATATTTTTTCACAATCATCCATTTGCCCGCATTTCCCATAGCAAGTAAGAAATGCATTTTCAATAGCTACATCATCGATTGCATTGTATTTTAGTACCAGAGCATGAATTTGGCTAGCAAGACCAAGAAGAGAAAGGGATGATACTGCAGAAAGGACATTTATGAAAGTAACTCGGTTAAGTCTCCATCCAGCGCGCATCATTTCTTTGAAATATTCTATAGATTCAAATATAGATGCCTCAGAATCACTCAATGCACCAATTATAGAATTCCAAGAAACACGGTCACGTTCAGGCATCAAGGAGAATATTTTCCTGCATTCACAGATAAACCGAACATCAGCATACAATGCAAGGAGAGCATTAGACACTGACACATCCAAGTCAAGTCCCAATTTAATTGCTTCACAATGTATTCCACTGCCCATCCTGATCCAACCCAGGCTCCCACATGAACTCAGAGCACTAATCAAATTGAAGTTTGAAGGCATCATACCAATACTCCTCATTGTTCTGAAACCCCAGACTGCATCTTCAAAACACTCGTTCCGGTCAAGACCAGAGATCAAAGAATTCCAAGATGTTAAATCCTTATCAATCATGAGGTTAAAAACAGAACGAGCCTCTTCAATTGCACCACATTTTGCATACATATTAATTAGACCATTTCCAATAGAAACCTTGGAATCATACAAGCCAGTTCGGAGAGCATATGCATGTACTTCTTTACCTCTTTGTTTTCCTTCTTCCAACAAAGAGAATTCAGGGAAAGCACTCAAAAGAACAACAAAAGAGGAATAATTTATTTCAACCATGTCTCTTGTCTCAACAAAAACCTTAGCAGCGTCTTCTCCTCGCTTTAGTTGAATGAGCCCAACCATCAGACCGTTCATAGAAACTACGTTTCTCATGCCCATCTGCTTGAAAATCTTCAATGCAGTGTCAAGACAGCCAAGCCTTCCAAAACTACAAACTAAAGCACTGCCCACATACAGGTCTTTTAAAAATCCAGATTTTTCAATTCTTCCCAATACCTGCTCTAGCAAAAGCAAACCACAATTACCATGAGAAGCAGCAGTGGAAATTAAGCTGCCAAAAGTGTCTTCAGTTGGTTTAGAATAAAATTCCATACTCTCATTTTGCATAATGGAGAAAAGCTTGAAAGCAGAAGCAGAATCTCCTCTTTGAGAATAAAAGGAAATTATAGAATTCCAAGACACTGAATTCTTAGCTTCTATACCACAAAATACACTCCAAGCATATTCCCCAGGATCACCACAACACCTGTACATAGAAATCAACACATTGCAGATAACCTCATCAACCAAGTAGCACGTCTTCAAAACCAAAGCATGAATTTGCATCCCCAACCTAAGCCCACAAGCCCCTAAAGATTGACAAGCCCTTAAAGCACTACCAAAAGAATAATGGTTAGGAACAAATCCCGAACGCACCATCTGTTGAAGACTTTCACAAGCCTCATTGGGCATGTCATTCTTAGCATACCCTGTGATCAAACTAGCCCAGGTAATCGCATTCCTGTCAGGCATCTCGTCGAACAGGTCACGTGCAGCAGCCACATCACCATTTTTCACATACAGTTGAATAAGGTAATTACACAAAAACAATTCTTGACTATACCCATTCTTCACAATTTCCAAATGCAGATGTTTTGCGTCATTCACAGGACTCAGGAACCGGTACTTGTCGACTAAATAACCGTACTTTCCAGAAAACAAGGGCGAGAAAGAGGAGTGTGTTTCAGGTAAAGCCGTCGTCCCAAAGCGGTTGGAAGCACTGCTTTGACTTGAAGCATGATTGAAGTTATAGCGATCTTGGAATTTAAAGATGGATTCTTTGGCGAGCTGTGGGTTGGTTGCGATGGGACGATGAGCGTGCTGTTCCTCTATGTGAAGGATGGATGCAGCGAATGTACTGAAACTCAGAGTGGTGGTTGGGTTATAGTAATACAATCTTCTTCGCATTAACATGTGACTGATGGGAGAGCTGAAAGACGCTTGCTCACTACATCTCAGTCTTTGCCGCCATTTTCACTCTGCTATATTTGAATTTTTTACAATACCCATTTTTATGAAATTAGGCATTAATTAAGAGAATAAATTGAATAATAATGAAGATTGGTTGAGATTTGAACCTGAGGGCTGAGGCTATAAATCTATAATAGGTGGTCCGGTGGACGAATGGTGAACGGACGGAACCACGGAGTGACAATGTAGGCTGCGGTCTGCCGTCGGCGTAAGAAACAAGATAACAATTACAATGAAACAAAATTAACAAACATTGAGAGTTTATAAATAAATAAATTAAAAAAAAAAAAAAACTGAGAGTTAATCACAAAATTAAAAAGTATTGAAATTTGAGAATGCACTACTGACTACTGAGATTCTACAATGAAACAAAGTCAACAGTTAAATAAAATCAATTATACTACAAAGCAAGAAAATAACTATATTTACCTGGCTGTGGAGTGTGGACGGAGACTGGGATTGTATTTGGACGGACTGAGGAAGTGGTCGGAGATTGGACGGGCTGCGAGCCTACGAAGTCTTTTCTGGTTGGCAACTGGACGGATTGCGACAGTGCGAGGCGGTTGTGCTGGTGACGCTGTCGGACTGTCGGAGTGAAGTTGAAGAAGGGAAGAGATGAAGAGTGAAGCTGTGCAAGTTTAGGTTTAAGGGGTCTTCAAAAAAAAAAAGGTTTAAAGGCAAATTATTTTGTGGAACAAAAAATATATTTTTAATATATTAAAATTACATTATTTGTGTGGATGTATATTATACAAAATAATGTATTTCCAATACTCAAACAATGTATTTATTAAAAAAATAACTTAAAATTGTATAAAATGACATGTTAAGTGGCTATTTTGTGGTACAATTATCAGTGGGTTCACTTTCGAACTGAGTCGGGTCAAAGTGGATTCGGGTTATTCGTAGTAACACGAAGAGATTAATATATTGTACGCTCAAAACGGATAATGGGTGAATGAGATATTGATTCTCAAAGTAGACCCATTAAGTTGGAAAAAGGAAGGGAAAATGTGAAGCTTTTGTCCCACATTGGTTTAGGAAGAGGATTTGCCCCACTATTTATACAAGAGCTCTTTTTAAATTTATTGAATTATATAGTATAGAGGTTTTCTCTTGTAAGATTGAAATGAGATTGATAAAGGCTTGACTTAGGCCTAGTTATGTGTACACCAATTGTTATGCCTTGCATAGGGGTGGGCATTGGTTCGGGATATGTTATTTTATTATTTATATTTTTTCATATAGTATCAAACTAAAAATAAGACAAATATTAATAATTAACCAATAGACTTTTAAAAATTAACTAGTATTTGTCCCGTGCGATGCACGGTATAAAATTTAAGTATCTTTATTAAATTAGTTAAACATCACAACATACCATTAGCATATATTACAAAACATATATGGTGTCAGATACCACATAAAATTTAAAAATTTTACATATAAAAAATTATTATACATACACATTTTTATAACAAATTTTAAAAATTAGTAAATTAAACAATATACAATAAATAAATAATTTTTTATTTTTTATGAGAAAATATAAATGATGCTATTTTTTAGATATATGCATTTCATTTATGTATATATTGGTTCTATTATGGTGCTTTAGAATATCTGATGTCATTCTACATATGTGTTATACTGGTTCTCCATATGTGTTATTCCATATATCATTCTAAGTTTTTACCATTTGCAAATGTTGAGTTTTATGCACCATTTATTTTTGAAAACAGCTTACTATATAATTATTAAAACTTAATTGGGTATACATTTTTTGATAACATACAACTTTCTATATTGCAAGGTACATAATAGGCACAAACTATCCTAAATTACATATTATCCCTAGATCTGTAAAGCTAGACATCTGCTAAACTGCTAATTTGCAGAGGATTATGGACATTTTCAATGTATTCTCCAAGTGTAGTGCAGGTACATATGTAATTTTCTTACTTAAATACCTGCAAGAAAATCACGAACCAAAAATTAGAACCATCGCATCCCAGGCAAGAAAGGAAACAAAATAAAATGCAAACACCATCATTGTCCACTTGACACAGACACCTCAACCACTCTAAACTTAATTTTTTACTTTTAGTCCTTCAAGCTTAACACTAACAACTGCCTTGTTCTTTGAAGATTGAGTTGATGAGAACTCATCTAAAAGATGCCTCTTTACAACTGAACTATCACCCACAAGAGGGTTTTCAGCTTCATCACTCTCATCAGCTTTCTAACGCAAATATTAATTAACTTTATAGGAGCAAACTTAGTATTTGCAAATCAATAAGCTGTACACCCACAACATAATTGAAAATTGTACCTTATCAAAATCATCATCATCCACCATCTTATTTTCAACCTTAGAACTCAGATCCTTGTCATGAACTTTCAATAACACTGGTGCATTAATTTGGATCAATTTTTGGTCAGTGTTTATTATCACGACAGGAAATGCATTGTGCAAGTTCTGAAACTGTTCTTTCCGAACGGCAACCTGAAACACCATGCCATGTTCAACCAAGGATTCTAATTCTGGTGGTATAATGTCATTTGTCTCTTTTAAAAGAATAATAGTGTTAGAAATATCTCACATTTCTAACTAAATTAAAGTAGTGTATAACTGCAAAGATATATGATGTGAAAATATACCTTTAGATGTTTAGACTTCAACTGTGCAGTTGTGATTCCCAGTAGTTGATTGCACTCTCAGCAACTCTGATCTTCAACCTGTACCTCAAACTTCCTTCTTCAATTCGTTCTCAGCCCCTTTCACACACACACACACACACACACACACACACATATAGATATGCTATCTATACAAAACATCACCTCAAAATCGTGAAACACAACTTCCTTGCTTCTTATTGATTCAAACCTTTCCTTTCCGTAATATACATTGGATACATGGTATGTGAGAGATATTCTTTGATGGGGACCAAAACTGTGGAGTTGTGGCTGAATGTGTAGGCATTTTGTGAACAAAGACATTATTTATAGACTTGTTAAGGATAGCAATCGTTGATACTGACTTCGGTAATCTGAAACGTTGCATCGTAAATATAGAGCCAGATTGTAGATTCCTATTGAGTATTTAACACTATTACAGCTTTTATATTAATTAATAGTTTAAATTTTAATTTTTAAATATTTTAATTTAGATTTGTATTGACAATGTAACTTTGTTATTTTGAATCGGCAATGTAGTTAGACTGAATTATGTACTATGTGCAATCATTAACGCTGGCCGCATATATTAAATTCATTTTTGGCTTTTCGATATCTTGAGTTGATAAACGATTATTAGACCAAACCAAATGGACTCTCTATGCCGGCTAATTGATCTAAACCTTTGATATTCCATAACTCTCAAATGCATAAAATGGAGGAAAAAAATTTTCATCTTGATTCTGCTTTATTATATATAGAGATATATTATTAATTATGAAATACATTTAAAACTATATATATATATATATATATATATATATTTATTTATTTATTTATTTATAATAAAATTTTGATTAGTTCGGATTTCGGGTCGGGTGTGGGTAGAATTTTTAACACCTGATATCCGAACCGAATTTATATTCGGATATACCAAAATTTAAAATATTCGAACCGATAACAATTTGAGTTCATCCAAAATTTAAAATTCGGTTCAGATTTCGGGTGTTAGTTCGGATAATCCGAATTACGCCCACCCCTAGCGCTGCATATGGATGCAGCGGGAACTTATTCTAATTTTGGAGAAGCCGAATATTATTATCATCACTAGTATTTTTACTCGTGCGATGTACGGAATGGATTTGTTATAATATATTTACAATATTTGGGTCGTTATACAATTATTTAAATTATAACATCAAATATTATATAGTGCAATTAAAGATATAGTCTGGATCGTTTATGTTTGTTGATGCTATCATTGCTTGAATTCGAGCAACTAATTGCTCAAATTAATAGCTAATGTGTACGCATGCGGTGCTGTAACTTTAAAGATTTTATATATCATTGTTTAAGATTTTTATAAATTAGACAAATGTGCTCGTTCTCTAGCAACTTAGTTATAGTAATCCATTGTTATCCTAATTCATTTGCATGGAGGTTATATTTTTGTCTAGATATATATCAATTTTGCCATTTTGAAAAAAAAAACATAATATCAACGATTGTATTTACACATTATTGAAAACCTCTTTGTAGACGAAATTGGTAGTCGCAACGCAATCTTTTCCATCCTCGTCTAGAGCTAACACCTTCAAGCCATCATGATGGGTGACTCAAGAGAAAGTCACGTACAATTGTCCGTGATTAAAGACCGGTTTTTTTAGCAATAACCCAACGTTAGTTAGCGGGTGTATTCAATTATGACTTTCATAGAGTTTTAAAGACTTTTATGAACTTTAAAAGTTTAGGGGTATTCAATTCAAACTTTTAGAGAGTCTTTAAAATTCATGTGGTATTCAAAAAGTTATGAACTTTTGTAGACTTTTTAATTTTAAGACTTTTGTAGACTTTTCCTTCTCAAATATAAATAGTTGAAATCCAACCATCAACTCTAAGATTTCAAAATTTTCTTTCTAACAACTTTGAATGTTTTCTCGCTCTATTTAAACTCTATTTTTTCTCCCTATTTAAACTTTATAAACCTATCTAAATTTAATAAAATTATTTTTTTCTTCATTATTCCATATTTTCCTCATACCTAAACTCTACCAATTTTTCTCTCTCTCCTAAACTTTACAATCTTCCTCTAAAAATTCGAAATAATATATATATTTTTTTTGGAACATGAAGAGGGCGGAACGCCCGAAAGGAAACAACACGCCAAACTAGCGACCTCTCTGAGCTGGCCCTCCCCGGCGGAATTCCTCGCGCCAACTCTGTCGTCCCACAGCAAATCGTCTACGTACAACGGCTGGCTATCTAGCTGACGGGTCCCAATAGCATGGTCTTCAATTCTAAGTTGTTTAGGTATTCTGGGCTTCTAGAGGTAAGATTTATGCCTACATAAAATTTATTTACCCCGAGATAAAACTAATTTTCCTAAGTGCTTGTGTGATCAAATTCTGTCAAGATTTCTCAAAGATAAATCTTTTAGTATTTATGAACCTAGGTTATTTTACTCGTAATTATTAAAGAATATCTGTATGCGAATTGCATGTTCAAATTGTAGGTGGAGATTTATATTTTCATGGTGTATGTATTGCGTGTAAAATCAGATAGCTCGGATGTTTGTGTTGAAATACATACTTACACACATTCATGTATATATAAAGCATGTTAGACAAAACTGTATGTTATAAGGCATCTCACTATGCATATATACAATATTATTAATTGCATGCAATCTGCATATACATGCCAATACTTGTATACTTAGTATGCTATGAACAAATCCCGTATAACACCTCGCGTATTCATGGCGTATGAATTAGACATAAAGTATTCGTCTATGAAACCCAGTGAAATATTCCGTATGTGCTAAACGTTAGTATTTATGTAAATACTTGTTATGTGATTATCCATCATTATTCATGATGTGCAAAATAAAGGTCCTAATTCGATCTATTGTCTCCCCAAAGTTTATTTACCCTATAAGAAACA